AAACAAACAAAACAGAATAGCTCAAAACAAAATAAACAAAAGCCCCGGGAACGCACTAGTGTGGCGACACGAGCCAGGGTGCAGTTCCACAGTGGAGCGGCGTTTCACAGCCCTTCTTGAAGAAGCAAAGATGGCACAGGGAGCCACGTATTAAAGAGAAAGGAGGGGGAAGTGGCGAGAGATATGGAAGACATGAAACTAAGTGGAAAAATGCAACACCAGCAACAAATGACACCCAGGGAGTAAGCCAGTGTGGGCAGGTGGAATCCAAGCTTCACAGGGCAGAAGTCAATACCTCCTATCACGAGACTTGTCACAGGAAGCAGAGGAGGCCAAGTGGGGGCAAAGAAGTGTGGGTGGCGGGAAAGTTTATATTGCTGCATACCTGTTGTTCTGTCTCTTGCTAAGAGCTCCGTGAAGCTGATTTCCCATACTCCCTGTTCTCTGATCTCTAACAGGAGTCCAAGATGGTGAATCGGCACTGGGTAAGTTGATAAGTGACATCTTCTCGTAACTCTCCTTGCTCTCTGTTATCTGTCAGTTTCTTATTCCATTCGGTGCTTTCCTGAGCTCTTTATCTCTTCATTTGATGCTTAAGGTTCCAGGATTGAGGTTTGTGTCTGTTTGACGTAGTTTTTCAGGGCTTTGCAGTGGAGGGAAGGTGTAGTGTTTCTATCTATAGTGCCATGTTGCTCGGAAGTCTATGGAGAAAATATTAAACAATGCAGGAAGCAACAAAAAGATGGAAGGAATATAGAGTCACTATAGTAAAAAATAATTGGTTGACATTCAACCATTTCAGGAGGTAGCATATGATCAGGAATCTGTGGTAAGGAAGGAAGAGCTTCACGATGGACTGAAGACACTGACAAAAAACAAGGCTCCAGGAGTTGACAGAGTGCCAACTGAGATGCTTCAACAAAGGGATGCAGTATTGGAAGTGCTCAGTCATCTATGCCAAGAAATTTAGTAGACAGCTACCTGGCCAACCGACTGGAAGAGATCCATATGTATGCCTATTCCAAAGAAAGGTAATCCAATCGAAATTGGAAATTATCAAACAATACCATTAATATCACACACAAGTAAAACATTGCTGAAGATCATTCAAAAATGGCTGCAGCAATATATCGACAGGGAACTACCACAAATTCAAGCCTGATTCAGAAGATGACATGGAACCAAGGATATCACTGCTGTTGTCAAATAGATCCTGGCTGAAAACAGAGAATACGAGAAAGATGTTTACTTATGTTATATTGACTATGCAAAGTCATTCGACTGTGTGCATCGTAACAAATTACGGATAACACTGTGAAGAATGGGACTCTAAGAACAGTTAATTGTACTCATGAGGAGCCTGTATATAGATCAACAGGTAGTCGTTCAAACAGAACAAGGGAGTACTGAGTGGTTTAAAGTCAGGAAAGGTGTGTGTCAGGGTTGTATCCTTTCACCATACTTATTCGTTCTGTATGGGATAAATTGTGGAAGACACCTTCTGTAGAGATAAAAAGCTTGGAAATTCTATGTGGAAGTTCTATTCTGTCCTATAGGGTCAGTATAAGTCAAATTTGACTCGATGGCAATGTATTTTTTTAACCTATGTATTCGACGTAAATACAATTTATAAAACATTAACTGCGTTGCAATATAACCAACGGTGATGGTTAAGATTGTGTGTCAGCTTGGCTGGGCCATGATTGTCACTGTTTATATGTGATCACTCCCATGATGGGATCTGCTATTAGTAGTCAATCAGTTGAAAGACAGTTTCCTTGGGATTGTGGCTTGTATCTTAATATAAGTGGACATTCTGGTTTTTGCCTGTTCCGGATCCTGCAGCTGTCTCCTGTTCATCTGAACTCTGGTTCATGGGGCTTGACCTGTCAGTCTTGGGTTTTCAAGCCCCTGTGGCTAGGTGAGTCAGGAGAAACCTCTGTCCTAATCCATGGATTTGGGACTTCCAAGCCTCTACAATCATGTTAGCAGGTTCCTTGATATAAATCTCTCTATATATTTATTTGTACCGTTCACTGGTTTTGCTTCTCTAGAGAACCCAACCTAAGACATCAGTCAAAATATCACTATTTTTTTCTATTTGATTCCATTGTATTTTACCATGTCAAAAATTTAGTACATTGTTCTCCTATGTGCATATGTGTCTATTCCAATAATAATTAACAAATATGTTTAAATACAACTAATGTGTACAACATATTGCTGAGTGTTTTCCTCTTTGTTGGTTTTTGGTTGAAAGCAGAGAATACCAGAAAGATGTTTACCTGTGTTTTATTAACTATCAAAGTCATTTGATAGTGTGGTTCATAAGAAATTATTAATAACATTGAAAAGAACAGAAATTCTAGAATAATTATACTCATGCAGAACCTGTACATAAACCAAGAGGGAGTTGTTTAAACAGAGCAAAGGGATACTGAGAGTTTTAAAATAAGGAATAGTGTGCGTCAGGGTTTTATCCTTTCACTATACTTATTCAATTTGTATGTTGAGCAAATAATGTAAGAAGCTGGACTATATGGAGAAGAAAGGGACGTAAAAATGGGAGAAAGACTTATTAATAACATTCAGTATGCAAATGGAACCACTTTGCTTTCTGAAAGTGAAGATGACTTGAAACTCTTATTCATAAAGTTCAAAGACTACAGCTTTCACTATGGATTGCACATCAACATAAGGAAAAAAACCCTCACACTGGACCAATAAGCAACGCCGTGATAAACAGAGAAAATGTTGAAGTTGTGAAGAATTTCATTTTACTTGGATCCACAATCAACACCCATGGAAGTAGTAGTCAAGAAATCAAATACACATTGCATTGGAAAAATCTGCTACAAAAGTCCTCTTTAAAACTTCAAAAGCAAAGGTATCACCTTGAGAAATAAAGTGCTCGTGAAGGAAGCCATAGTATTTTCGATCTACTCTTATGCATGACAAGCTGGACAATGAATAAGGCAGATCAAAGAATTGATGCATTTAAATTATGATGTTGGAGAAGAATATTGATTATGCCATTGACTTTAAGAAGATTGAGCAAGAAGTATAGCCAGAATGTCCTTAGATGGAAGGATGGCGAGACTTCATCTCACATACTTTGGACATGTTATCAGAAGGGACCAATTCCTGGAGAAGGACATTACGCTTGGTTTAGGGTCATTGAATAAAAAGGAAGACTCCCCAAAAGATGGATTGACACTGTGGCTCCATCAATGATCTCATACATAGCAACGATTGTGAGGATGGTGCAACTTTAGGCAGTGTTTTTCTTTCTTTTGCACATAGGGTCTCTATGAGTTGGGATTGCCCGAATAACACCTAAGGGCAACAATAATGCAATGGAAGATAAATTCCCTTGTTCCCAAATATAAGATTTCTATGTAAAATTATATTTACTTCTAGGCTCTGTGATGGCATATTTCCTATTCGTACAGTAAAATTATTAATAAGTTTAAAGGAGCCCAGGTAGCACATATGTTAAGTGCTTGGCTGCTAACCAAAAGTTTGAACCCACCTAAGTTGAAGCCCACCTAACTGCTATGCAAAATAAATACCTGGCAATATCTTCCCATAAAGTTTACACCCTAGAAAATCCTATGGAACAGTTCTACTTGGTCACATGGGGTTGTCATGAGTCAAAAATCAAATTAATGGTAACTACCAACAACCATAATATCAGTAGATTCTTAATACATTTTATACATAATCAGACAAATTATCTTCAATTTTATATGGTAAGTACCAACAACCATAACATCAGTAGATTCTTAATATGTTTTATACATGATCAGACAAATTATCTCCAATTTTATATTTTTTGTTACCATCCTGGTTTTATTAACTCATTCCTTGTTTCATAAAAGTGATAAGACACTCCTACATGTTTAAAAAATCATATTTTCAGAAGTAAAAATAAAAATCAAACAAACAGAAGCCTTTCACTGGCTAGATTTCTGGCTACAACATATACAAATATGTGAACTGGGGAAACTATAAATATATTAACCAAGTCTTTACATATCTGTAGAACTTTATACTTCCTATTGTGGTTTGGTCCAAGCTTCTTGTTAGGTGTTTTTGGGTTAGTTCCAACTCATAGTGATCCCATGTGACAGAGTAGAACTGCCCATAGGGTTTTCTAGGTTGTCATCTTTATGGGAGTAAATCAACAGGTCTTTTCTCCAATGGACCCACTGGATAATTTCAAAATGCCTTTAGCAGTTGAACACTTAACCATTGTGTTACCAGGACTCTTTGCTTCAGGTTTACCTAAGTATAATTTACTTTCTGCAGATGTTCATTTCTATTGATGTTGGCCAGGTTTAAGTTTTTATACCAGAGTTTCTAAATATTAACACTATTGCCATTTTAGGCCATATAATTATTTCTTGTCGGGAGCAGTCCTGGGCATCGTATGTTTTTTAGCAGAATGCCAGGAATCTAACACTAGTGCCAGAAATACCTGCCTCCGGTTGTGAAAACTAAAAGTGACTCCAAGAATTACCAAATCTTCCTGGGAGCAAAATTGTCCTGTAACATATGGACCCTAATATAGACATATACAATATTACCCAATGATTATTCAAGTCATTCTAAGTGAAAGGCATTTTGTCAACCTGGATTGAGGATTAATCATGTAAATGAAAAGACTGGAAGTCAATATGAGGGTGAGAGGCAGATTTGAGTTTCAGTGTGAGAATAATGTCCTGTACTGTTTCTTAACCTGGCAACAAAGGGCAGTAATTATCATTCTGAATTGAAAACAGAGGTCTCATCAATAAGTATTACTGTGGAGTCTGTATGTGACAGATGGGGAAAGACAGACAAAACTCGTTCCCTTGAAAAGAAGTCATGTTCAGAGTCATAAAGTTTCCCCAGAATCGCCTTGCATAGGAATCCCTAGAGAGGCGCTGACCAGCTGGGGAAACCACAGCTTCTAAGAGGAAACACTTCCCTGACTTCCTCTTCCTGAATCTGCTGACAAGATGGGCCACTAAGCTTAGTGCACCCTGAACGCCCCCTAGAGACTACTCCTCTACTGACATCCTATGGGGAGGTTTTTGTCTGGGCTCACATTGACTTCCTCTCACTGTGTCTCCTGCACAGTAATACACGGCCGTGTCTTCAGAATTCACAGAGTTCAGTTTTAAATAAACTTGGCTCTTGGAGGTGTCCCTGGTGATGCTGACTCGGGACTTCAGAGTTGGGTTATAGTATGTGTCCCCATCATAATCTATTGCACCAACCCATTCTAGCCCCTTCCCTGGAGGCTGGCGGACCCAGCCCACACCATAGCTGCTTGAAGATAATCCAGAGACAGCACAGGTGAGGGATAGGGTTTGTGAGGGCTTCACCAGTCCTGGCCCTGACTCCTGAAGCTGCACCTGGGACAAGGCACCTGGAAACAAGGAGAAACTCAGTGAGACATGAGCTCAAATGCAGCATACCCAGACCTTCATGTCTTAATCCCTTAGACACTCACCTCTGGGAGCCGCTACCAGAAAGAGGAAAACCCACATGTGTTTCATCTTATTGTGGATGAGGTCCATGACTCCCAGAAAATATTCTCCGAGATGAAGAGGAACCTGAATTTAAGTAAATATGTTCTGTGATTTCCTCTGGCTGCTTAAGTGGGATTTGCATGTGGGAGGTGCATTTGCATGTAAAGGTGAAGAGAGGGGAAGGGAGGCCCCATTCTCTAACATTCTCACTGGATAAAAGATGCTGGATATTCCTTTGGGAGAACACAATCCTCTTCCTGGGGTTTTCACTTCACCAAGCCCTGGATTATCTTAATTCACACCAGGATATATTCTGGTCAGGGAGTCAGATGCAACCAAGAATCAAGGACACTTTTGGGAATAGAGTCAACACACCTCTACTCCCAACGCTAGATAGATAGATAGATAGATAGATAGATAGATAGATAGATAGATAGATAGATAGATAGATAGATAGATAGATGGATAGATGGATAGAAGATAGATCAATCGACACAGATAGAGAGATAGATAGATGATAGACAGACAGATAGATAGATAAATGATACATACATACATATAATACACAGATACATAGATAGACACATAGGTGAATAAATAGGTAAATTAATATCAAATAGTTACTACAACTCCAGGGCTCCCTGAATGGTCACATACTCATTCTGATTCATTTCACACCTGCGTTATCTCATGTTTATACTTTAGATGTTCCAAAGTGTTGAGACAGCAACTAAATGGACCAAAAACATCAAATTCAGACAAAACTGAGTCTAAAGTAATGTTTGTCATATACTGAAATGACTTTAAAAGACTCATTAACTTGGATGAATGTTTCTTCAACTGAAACACCTTTTCAAATATGTATATTCAAGGGTTACTGTAGGGAGGAATATCTTCATGCCAACCTAAAGTCCTTTTTGTTTTTTGGTAGGTTTTTTTTTTTTAAACAAAGATTAGATTTCTTCGTAGATAGTAATCATTCTTAGGGTTGTTACAAAGATCAGCAACCCCCTAGTTCTCATTTTTCCTAGAAGCTGAGTTTCTGCAACAAACTTCTGAGTCTGTAGACTACTTGAAGGAGAACTCTGAGCAACAGAAACCCTCAAGAACACAAACAGAGATTTGGCGCAAAGCCCTAGTTTACCAATATTTTGGGTCAGTAACCTGGTATTTGTATATAATTCATGCATCCTAGAAGTGTCATTCCTTGCTTTCTGAGTCACTAACAGAGGATATTGAATAGAGTGAAAATGATTTCCATTAATTTGGGTAGAATAATATTCATGATTCTTGGAAATACTGTTGTCCTCCAAATGGATTGCAGAAGGCATGAGTTTACCATTGCCAGAGGGAAAGTCCCTACACAGGAAGCAGGTCCCCCTGAAAAATCCTGCTGAGTTCTGTCCCGTGATATCGTATGGCACTGAATCTGATATTATGTCCTATCTCTGTTTCTCAGTGTGAAAAAATGCTTCCCATTCAAAGGGATGGTGAGAATCCTCATTATGTCTTTGTCAAGAGGAAGAAAAGATCATGGAGGAAACTGGAGAAGTTCCTTCTGACCAGGTCCACCTCATGCAACAGAGAATGCTTACTTTCTCTTCCTTGACTGCAGTGAGAATGTGAGAAATTAGTGGAAACAAAAACAAAAACAAAAAATAACTTGGTGGCAGATGAGTGTTGAAAAGTAAAGAAAATCACTGAGAGCTGTGAAAGGAGAGGAAACCCCTGATCCCAAAAAGATTGCCATCACCAGCCCGTTTCTGCACCTACTCCTAGTACTGGGTCCATCTTGTTCTGTGGATTGCAAGCACCTCCTGAAGCACAGCCCTCTCCCTCCCTCCCTGCAGCCTAGGCTTGTGTCTAGGCTCCCATTGCCTTCCCCTCACTGTGACTCACACATGATCATGTTCTTTGCCATTGCGGAGCTCAGGTGCAGGAATACTTGGTTTTTGGATACTTCCTAGGAGATGGAGAGTCAAATTTGGAGGGATGTTTATACACTTTTATGTCACTAAACCTTCCCCCAAAAAATACTGTCAAGTCGATTGCAACTCATAGAAACCTTATATGTCACTAGTACACATATATATCCATCCACTTTAGTCCCTTCCCAGTTGGGTGGTGGATTCAGTGCCAGCAGTGACCACTGGATGTGATGAAGAATCCAGAGAGACCTCCAGAGAAGGAGTGAGGGGTGAGGACCTCAGTAGTTCTGAGCCCGACTCCTACAGCTGCACCTGGCAAATGCCATCTGGGGACAGGAAAAAAAATAACATTATTGTCAAATATCAGATTGTTTTGTTGAGGAAATTTCTGAGATACTCACGAGGTGAAGTGACTACAAGGTGGAAGTACATCAACAGGAATCTCATGATTTTCTGGACAAGGCTTATAATTCTGAAGAACTCAGCATACAGTATGAAGTTTCTGGTTAGATTCTGACATTTAACATGGAAGGTGAAGACTTCATTTTCATGTGGGAGGCCCCAGGTAGAAATCATGGAAAGACCAAGTAAGCTCTCAGGTCTCTGATTTAGAAGCTAGAAGAAGCAAGTCAGACTCATTCCTCAAGAATGGCCTCAGCCTTACTGACAGCTCAGGGGCCCAGAGATGGAGATCATATATGTTTATATTCTTGAGAGAGCTTTGAAAATGGAAACATAAACTCTCTTCCCATGAGAAATGTCCTTTTCCTTTGATAGGGACACATCTAAGTTCTTCTTCTGACCCTTCTTTCAGGAACATTTTATTTGATATCGTCATCTTTTTTTATTCTATCATACAGTTGGGTGGCACTTGGGAGGACATTGGAGCAGGGAATATTATATGGGGCACGCTGCTCCAGGGACAGCAAGTATGGGGCCATTTCCAAGCTCAGCCTGTTGAGAGTTGAACTACCCTTGCAGGATCTCTCGACTCTTTCCCGGTGGCTCCTTACCTGTAGAATGGGCCTGGTGAATAGCTACTAACCTTGGATTTAGAGGAACATGGAGCTCTTGTGGCACAGTAGTTAAGAGTTACGGCTGCTAACCAAAAGGTCGGCAGTTCGAATCCATACCAAAAGGTCAGCAGTTCGAATCCACCATCCTCTCTTTGGAAACCCTATGGGGCAGATCTACTCTGTCCTATACATCACTATGTGTTGGAATTGACTCAAGGGCAATGGATTAAGTTGATGATAATTCTTCTGGTAGGATATACATAGAGTTTATATTCAGTGACAGTAAATCATTATTCATAACCATGAAGCACCTGGATTCTGACCTGCTGCTACTTCTAGCACAGATCTGGGAAGATTCTCCTTGCATCTGAATCTTCCTGGGCTCTGATCTGAAGGAGGAACATGAAGTGTGTCAATTCTCCCAATATCTCCAGTACTTTTGTGATTCCTTGTTCTCAGCTCGAATCTGTCTGCACAGTTCTGTGTGTGGGCTTTGCATAAGTGATCACTCGTGTAAGTAAAGATTTTCTATAATGTATTATTAGTATGAGTGCATCTTAGTGTCTGTGTCAAACGTTTCTGTTTGTGTGTACATTTGCTGAGCATTAAAGAGAAGTTTCCATGCAATTTGATCAAAAATTATAAATGCTTAGAGCAGGAAAGATTTATCATGTGTGTAGAAATGTAAGAAGACTATGGTGAGATGCTGTGAGCAGGTGAAAATGACAAAAAATAAGAAAAAAATCAAACTCTTCAAGCCCTTAGAGCTCTCCCTTTTCCACACCATGACCCAGATGGCCAGTTTCTCTGGGAGGCCTGAAACTGGGTTACGCATCCCATCTAATACCCCAAATATACAAATAAGAAGTCACTTAGTTAAGCCGAACACCACAGCCAGCTGTTCTAGGATTGTGGCACAGGAGACTAGATGATCTCAAGACCTGGGCGAGTCCTGTCACATGCTTCCTCCTAAATATGTACTTTTCAGAAGGAAGATTGTGTGAAGTGAGGCACTGGTGCATGAGGCTGTAGGGAATTCCATGGATGGAGGTACTTTGTAAGAAAGCACAGTCAGAAAAGACAAATTCATGGACTGAATAAATGTCATCACTCTGAGGACACTCTGCTCAAGACCAAACAGCATTTTCCTGTGTAAAGCACATCTACCATCTCTCTGTTCTTGTGTATTTAATGTGAGGCTGGTGTTTGTTCAGGTTAATACAGTAGGCTACATTCCTATGTATATTGTACATGTAAGGCAAATTTATTATTATCAGAGTTACCCATATGGAGATGATCTAACGAAATTCCACCAAATCCTCTATTCTCACCATGTAACAGAATCAATACAGGACTACATGAATCTTCCCATAAAGCCTAATACAGGAACAGTGAGATACTTCCCCTAAAACTCCCATTTTCTGTTACATTCAATACTATGTAGAGAAAGGATTAAAAAAAAATCCCTATACTTCAAAGTTAACTTCTATTTCTAGAATCAGAATAAAAAGGATTTCTCTGGATGTTGTTATTTGTGGGATTAGAAGAAATCTCAGACAGTGATAGGAATCTCCTTTATCCTTCCGTGAATCTACCCCTAGGGTGGAACCTGAGATCAATGGGTCCTGAGGACTCCCTGCTTACAGCCTCCTATCACTTTCAGGTGAAGTGTTTGCTGGACTCCCACTATTTTACCCCCACTGTGGGTCTGACAGAGCAGTATCTTCTCTGGTCCTAAGCATCCAGGCGGCTGATCAGGGTTAGTACCAGCAGCTGTCTTTCCAGGTATCCTGGCCATGGACAGTTGAGCTACATTTGTGATCAGCACAGCTGTTATAGCTAAGCATCCACTGCAGGCCCATGCCAGGCTCCTTTCTGATCCATCTTAGTCAGCAGACATCAAAGCTGCACACGGTGCTCTCTAGCTACTGGTCTTTCATGGTGTCTCAGGACACAATTCACTGGGTGAGAACAAATTATTTTTGGAGAGAAGAGTAAACTCAGACCCTGAAAGGAAACCCCAGATGACACAAGAAACATCCCTACCTAGCCTCTTTCTTCACCTAATCCAGGAGCCTATGGGCACTGAGCGCCCCTTGCTGATAAGTTCCATCCTTGCAGGAAGT